TGATCTATTGTCAGACGTTGTGTATGGAACAGATTCCTAGTGTTACCCGATGACTTGAAATTTCAGCTACCAGTTGCAAAGTGACAAGATGTTAGCTGTATGACACTTACAAACTAGTTCGTTATACATTTAACCCACAACTGTAAAGACTAAAAACGTGCATCAATAAACGTGATAGAAGTCTGTAAATATTCATAAGGCTTATGTACTTACTACGGATACGGTTTTATGAAAGAGTTATAGTACGGTGGAAATTAACAGCATAAGTTCTACTTCTCATTAAACAACACCAGTGACCGAACTACCAGTAAAGTACTAGTTTGCTTAAATATATAAACCATATTTACCTACCGTGTGAATACGGCTACAGTTACCGTTCTAAGGTGCTAGATCAGTCAACCTGTTGGAAGGTACTGCAAACGTTAGGGCAATAATCAGTGCTACGTAGGCTGATCAGTGAAGCGGTTTATGGCTGTAAGAAAATATGTAACAGTGAGATGTAACTTTAAGCTGTTGTTTTCCAGAGATGAGATTTATCAGCGTTTGCTAGCATCTCAGATTTTGGAGTGTTGCGCAAGAAGCACCTGTAAGTCTTAAGGAGTTCCAGACCTAGTGATTCACATATATTAGATTATTCTACTTGTTGGAGGTTGTTTTGTTTTAATTCTGGATAAATGCTGGTAGAAAAAGCCAAAATAAACATTCAGAAATCATCTGTTGGAATTGACGTACATGGGTGATTATATTTATTTTTTATTTGATTCATTTTTAAGGATGACAACAGATTCGGCACACAGTGGATGAATTGATTTGGATAAGAGATTTCAAGTTCTTTTGATGTTTCGAAAACTTCACCTTTGATGTCATTTACTTGCTAATTGAATATACATTTTTGTGATTATGTTCTGCATAAAGTATGGAAATAAGATTTGAGTTTTAAATATTATTTGTATACCTCAACTCATTGATCACAGTAGGATCTTGTCTTTCGTACAAAATATATAAACGTGCAGACTCTTGGAGGGTGTCTTTGCTTGACTGCACCATGTCCTCATTTGACCACGAAGATGACGATGTATTTCTCCAAGGTATGAGCGCGTCACAGTCTTCCTTCTATCGTTCACATAGAAGCCATTTGCAGATATCTTCCTCCTCCTCCTCATCCTTTTGTAAAGGGAAACCCTTGATTTTAAGATCACAGTCTTGTTTCTCTGGAAGTAGCGCCATGGCCACATCGAGTATAAATCCATATTTGGGTGATTCTTTACCATTACAAGGTTTTCATGAAGAAAACGTAGGATTTAGCACTGGACAGTCACCTTTGCTGTTGAAAAGGAAACTACCTATTCTTGATTTAAACAAGCCACATACATGTACAAAGAAAAACGTGAGGTGAGGTGTACTCTTTAAATTCCTATAAATTAAATTTAATTTTCCATATAACGGATATAAGTTACAGTTCAAAACTCATTTTAATTCTTTTTTTTTTCAGAGCACAGTTAATCTACACTATATTACCGGAACAAAATGAAAAATGCATTTCACCCGTTAAAAACCGAAAACAACTAGTTTTGCCCGCAGTTATGATAGCAAATTAAAGAATTAAGTAATAGAAGGTCAAGATAAATTTACGTTCCTTAGTGTAAGGTATGTACTAATGCCAAAAATGTTGATGCAAATGCATATGTGGTTGTTGTTGTTGTTGTTGTTGTTGTTGTTGTTGTTGTTGTGGGGTTTAACGCCATTTTTCAGCACACGATAGGCTATACATGGCGGCCAGTATTAATGTTGGAGAAAGAAACCGAAAATCCCCGGAAAGAACCACCGATCCAGGAGAAGGCATTATGTGGTAACCACTATCAGATACTTTGATCAGTTTGGAAATCGAGATAAAAAAAAAATAGACAATGATGTCTGTCTTTAATCAATAACTACAATGATTATAAGTATGTACAATAAGAATGGTCGACTACCTTATTTACTCACTCATAAGATAGGACTGTATGCAAACTGCACAGACCGGTTCTTCCACTACAAATGCACCAACAGACTGGGTCTATAGTTGGCTAATAGGAATCAGTAGGACAATGATGGATTAATTTAGTAGAACAAATAGTATTGACCTTAATATGCTGTTGCTTTATATCACGACATATTTGGGTTTATGTTTTTGTAGTTGGACTCAAAAAGCTAGTATTATATGGTATTTGGAATCTAATTTGTTGGCCTAGTGGTTAGAGCATCCACTTCATATGGGAGAAGTTGCAGGTTCAAATCCTAGCCAAGTCATACTATAGGCTTGTACAAATGATACTAACAGCTGCCTTGCTAAGTGCTCAGCATTAAGAGGTTAATCTTAAAATTAGTCAGCCTGGTATTAGTATAATGTGAGGAAGCAGGACACACACATACAATCAAAATCATTTGGCAACTTCATCATCGACATAACACTGTACAATTTGTTCCAGAAGTTTTAATTTGGAATACAAATTCAAGAGCTGTAATTTTAAGTAAGGAATAACCTAGTTTTTTCTAAGTGTTCCATAAAAAATCTATTTCATTAGATTAATTCATAACTGTCCCATGAAGGTGGTCCTACATGACATGCTTAGTTTTGCTTGTTTTCACCCCTAGTTGATTAATGATTTTGCTGAACAGTTTACACAGCAGGACCATAAATACTTGTCTTTCTAGATTGTGATTGTGAGTTATGGTCAAAAAGGAACAAGGGCAAAGGACACTACTTCAGTTGGTGAATGTTTATACTGAATAAAAAGTTACAGTTCATATAACTCTATCTAAAACTCAGGATTTTTTTTTTTGCAGAATTTTAAAACTGAATTTATTAAAATACATGTTGACCTTGGTACATTAATGCCAATCACAACAAAACCGGGCTATTCATTTTCTGAATTTACATTCCAAATCACTGTCCGTAATCTTCCTATTCTTTTTTTTTTTTAGTTTGTTCCTAATTTGCTTCCTATGATGTTATTTCATCAGCATCTAAGTTGTATTTTCAGGAATAAATTGACCCAATTATACCGTAAACAACTATTTAATCACAGTACCTCTTGTATTTCAACTTGAAAAACTTGAAGTTGAGCTCTCTTTTTGTGAACCATTTTGTTTTCTAGAATGTCTTACAAAAGTGGCTGACAAGTAGCAGTATCAAAATAAAAAAGGTATTTCCTGTATATCGTAGCATAAAAGCAAATGTTGTAAATAATTCATTTGTGGCATCACAACATATTCAAGTCACATGAAGATCTTTTAAGTATTATTTTATATATTTGCCACAATGTACAAAGATATATGTAATTTTTTATGGTTTCATTTTGCTATGGAAAATGCATGCATGATGGTGAGATTTTTAATGAGTAATCATTGACCTTGATGGGTCAATAGAAAAAGGCCACAAGGTATAATAGTCCCACAAGCAGGGCCACCCTCTATAAAGAATATTATTATTATTATTATTATTATTATTATTATTATTATTATTATTATTATTATTATTATTGAATTTGACAAGTTAGGTTGAAAACTTGGGTTCAGGAAAATTGGTTTTACCTTTGGAAAATCATTGTTCCCAAAATTACATATTTTTCAGAGGTAAGGACCACCCATTTGAATTTTATAAGGGTGTGTGATTCGTGGTAATTTCTTCCAGGCTGAGATATATTTATTATTTTTACATCAAGATGTATTAATTTTGTTAACTAAAATAATGAATATAATAATTTTTGGAGTTTTTTGTTTGCTTTAAATAAGAGCAAGGATTTCTTTTCATTCAAGTTATTTGAGAGGTGGAATTTTTTTCCCCAGTAAATGATACCTCCCCTAACCCACCCCAAAATAAAATGCTTAGTCCCACATTGAAAAATATATATCACTTAATAGTCATAGGCTTTTATTTATATTTTAAACATAAATATAATGGTTCATCAAATGATATATTACGATGTTAATTACCAGATCCAGTGGTATAGTTGTATGATAATCACATTTGGAAATGGATGACTAATTCAGGAATGTGTTCTCACTTGAAATGAACATTGTTTACAATTCAAAAATGGGAGTGTGACCCACTTACCATAAGAAAAAAGAACTCCTTGAAAAGTCCTTGGAAAAAACAAACAGCTCTACTAGCTTATACAAAAATGCATTGTGTCAGTTTGCTCATTATTTCCAGATATCTGAAACAATTTGTTTTTCTTTTATTTATTTCTTTTTTAATTTATTTTTAAGATTTACTGTATTTAGAACTTATTAAGGCACTGCTAGTAATCTTCACTAATGAAATAATGTTCTTTTGAAATGTCCTCATATGTGAGCATGATTTATAATCAATCAGTTAGTTCTGTATTCAGTAGTGAAGGAGATATTAAATTAAATTAAATTAAATTAAATTAAATTAAATTAAATTAAACACCTTGTAAAAAGTTCTAGGAAATAACTGTTCACAGCTAACTAATTAAGGACCTGCTTTTAACACTGGCAGGCATGGGTCCTTTTCTTCTTCTGTAGAAAATGCCAAAGAATTTACCATTATTTGTTGGCTGATAAGTAAATCCTAAGCATAACCATGATATTTTGAAAACTGGTTAGCATCAGGAAATTTGAACCAGCATCAGGAAATTTTCAACTTGAATTCAAACGTAAAAAGTGTCACTCTACTGTCATGGATACGTTTGCAGCCTAGAAACTAATTAACTGTCAATTGTATTTTGAGCTCCAATTTGAACATATATTTTTTTGTATTGTTAACTTGGATTAAAAGCAGGCCACTTTGTGTTATCACATTAATTGGGCAATTTTTATCAAATCATATTAAAGGGAACAGAGTAAATAAAAAAGTTAAAAAGGATACAAATCATATGTGTGTATTTGAGCTAACAGTCATGGTTTTGTGTCAAGTCACTAATTTGAGTTGACCACTTGAGCACTTATAAATATTATTGTCTAATTAAAAATTACACTAGTTTTAAATTATTGATCACTTGAGTGGCCTAGTGGTCAGAGCTTTTGCCTCAGATGCAAGAGATCCTATGTTAGAACCCCAGCCAAGTCATACCAAGACTATTGAAAATGGTACAAACAGCTGCCTTGCTAGGCACTCAGCATTAAGAGGTTAGTGTTAGGACTGGTCAGCCTGGTGTCAGTATATATGTGACTGGCTGGGACATCATACTACATGTCTTCGGCATGATGCCCCAGTGCTAGACATCACTATAAAATGCCATACTGCAGACATTGGAATGATATGACTGAAAATTGTTTAAAGCTACATTAAAATCCAAATTTTTCTCTCTCTCTTTCTCTCTCTCTCTCTCTCTCTCTCTCTCTCTCTCTCTCTCTCTCTCTCTCTCTCACACACACACACACACACACACACACACACACACACACACACACACACACACACACATACCCACACCCAAAATAACACCCACAGACCCCTTAAATTTTCCTTGCCATGTGATCAAAGATATCATAAGCAAGATAGATGAGCACACAGTGAATTCAGAGCTCTGTTTGATAGATTATTATTGTTTATTATGGAAAAGCATGATTCAATATTTTTTTAATGGAAACTTTAAATTCCTCATTTGTCACTGAGAGTTCAACAGAAGTTTCACTTTTACTTGCAATGAAAACATGTTATCAATATTTCACTAATAAAATATTTTTTTTTTTAAATCAAGTTTCAATTGATGTTTTTTTACATGAAAGAAATGTCTCTACTTTTTGAACAAAGTGAATTTGTGCAAAAAGCAGTGATGGAATACATAATGTTGTCAGGTTCACAGTGAGACATGTGCACCTGATGTGTTGAAACCTTGTGGAGTTAGGTTGTTCATGATCTTTCAGTTATTGTTTATACTGAAAATAAAAGTATTTTATACTAAAATGCAAATAATTTAATTTGAAAAGCTGTTTTTTTACAACTATTCCCAGTGATAAACAGCACTGCAACCCACCCCTTCCATTATCTTTTCAATGTCTAGCCAGTATGGCATCCCATTTTTGTTTCTCAGCGGTCCACCCAGTAACTCTCACTTATAATGTTGTCTACATTTTTGGACCCATTTGTGTGTGAGTTATTGAGGGAGATGTTTGTGGTCAAACTGCCATAATGGTCACCTTTTTCAGTAGTCACATGTTCACAGCGGCCATTCTGATTTTTCTCTAAGCAAATTTCCTAAATAATGTCTTGTATATGATGATCACCTCTCTTCTACAGTCAGTTAAACCAAGTGTTTTTATATAAAACAGTGGTTTCTCCCTGCCTTAAGCAGTCACTGTAGTCTATCTATAGTGTCCACTCAGTGCAAAATAAAATCTGTTTCTTGAGAAACTTGCAAGGGACCATTTATTAAAGGAATGTCATCTAAACTGATGTCCAAACATTTCTTATCTCACTTATACTCAAAACTTAAGTCATGTTGCCAGTGCAGGCTCAATATGTCCGAGGCATAAAATAAGTCAGTTTTTATCATTAGGGCAGAGAGTCAACGCAATTTGTTTTCTCTGTGATGAGATTTAAGTAGTTGTGCTATCACAGTATGCTCCAGTATGACATGCATAGTTTCATATCTTCACCTATTTGCCTGTAAATTAAAGTCTGTCTTTGAGAAGAGATACAAGTTGCACCATTTTTCATTAGGGTCAGGGGTCATTCAATACTTAAAACTTTTCTGTAAAGTCAGGTATAGTTTTAACATCATGAGTCACAGAGAATATCCATATACGGCTTCTTTGGATTTTCTTTTCATCATAGGCTTCTCCAGATATAATTTTAAAGCATGAACAGTTTTTGCAAGGGAAACTTATACAATTTGGCTAGCAGATGAGTCAGTCTTCTATTTTACAGTCAGTTGTAAAATTACTGTTTTCTCATGGTGCACAAAAAAAATCTAAGAGCAGTGATTATTTTTAAGTCCATGCAGATTTCCTACACAGGATGGGTTAACGTGTGCATAATACAGTAATCGTGCATTAGACAACATGGTAAACATGAGTTTTGTGTTGTAAAATGCATGAGAGCTGCTAACAGCTCTTCTGGTGGTGCTAAGGAGAGTTATTCACTCTCCTCTGACATTTATGACATCATCATTTTATGGCACATCATCCTGTATGGCACATGACATCATACATCAAAATGGTGTATCCTATAAACATATCAGTATTTGTGAAAGGCAACTACCATGAAATCAGAGACAAAAATTGAGAAATTCACTCAGAAAACATCTGGAGATCATTGTTTTGAAGAATGAGATTGCGAAGAGCAATTATTTGTACCTGGAAGCAGTTTAAAGAGCATGATAATGCACAAGAGCAATCACACATCTCAAAACACAAACCCTGCATAAAACAATATGGATAGCATATAATATTAATAATGATCATAATGATACACTTTGCACAGTATTTGTTCAGAAACCAATTTTAAATTATGAACCTGGAAACTGAGGTCACCTGTGTATAATGACCAGTTTTTGCCTCTTCCCATGGGTGGTCGCTGCTGACAGGTTTGATTGTTTCTGTCTGCAATGACCAGTTATACAAGGTAGCAACTTTTGAGATGACCACCTATGCTTGGTCAAAGAGCCAATCAATTGAATATACTAAAGGTTCAGGAAACAAAATTTTCCATATGTTTTTGAATACAGCAACCAATTATTCTATGAGTAAGTTTGAGATGTCCCTGACTACTTTATGCTAGATCTATGCAGCTGACTTAACTGGTGGGGAAAATAGTTTTGCTTCACACTTTACTTTTGCATAGGCATGAATACCTACTGATTTCCACATGTCTGAACCATTCATGAAGATTATAAGAGAAAGCTGAAAATGTCTCCATTTGTTCACTTGTAAATGCTGGGTGACTGAATTTGTATGATCATTTGTTGTGTCTATGAGATATATTGTGGTGGGCATAAATCCTTGTGGAAGTGTACTTATTGAATGCACATTTTTTACCATCTGTTGTATATGTACATTTGATGTTTAAGAAAATTTTCTTTCTAGGACAGATTCAATTGTACGGTTTGATTCTTGTATTGATCTTAAGAAATATAATGTTCTTTATGGAGTTATAATGACATGATTCAATACGTACTCTGTAATACTTTATCTTGCTGAAGTTTCTTACTACATATACATTTTAGTAGTCATTCTTCTGTCAAAATTTCGAGAGGAAGCTTAGATAAACAGGTACATAGCAAGTTGTCAGATAATCTGATTTATTGTGGAAAATACTTAACTTTTAGACTTAATTGAAAAGACTTTACTTTTCCTAATCATTAGCTTTAATGAAAACAACTTGCATTTGCTTAAACTCCAATGCAAGTGCATTAATTATGTTTAAACAAAAGTTGTTTTTGTTTCAGTGGTTGTGTAAACATTTATAGTTTTTGGCAAATGTGACAGTCTTACATATTTTGCCAGAGAACAATATACTTTATAATATGAGGTCAGTATGCAAAGTCTTAAATTTGAAATAGGTAGCTTTGGCTGCTCTGTGAGTACTTTCATTAATACTATCAAGGCTGCCTTTCCAGACTGTATGAGCAAATCATATTTATGTTAGGATTTTGGATGTTAATGAGTGGTTTTGCAATGTTTCCAGCATGGAAAGGAAATCCAAAAATGAATTTTTATCTGTTGAGATTTCAGTGGAGTTCAAAAACTTTTGTATGACTGTGATTTCTGCACTAAAAATGAAGACCTTACCAGATAACTGGTGCCAGCTAAAACAAAAGCACTTGATCTTTGAATGTTGAACAGTACTATTTCTGTTCTCCATATTTAATTATTTAAACATAATTATTACTCACATGTTTTTAATGAATAACAAGCTACCCCTCTCTCACTCTTACAAATTAATGCATCATTTGTTAAATATTTAGATAGGGATTAGCAAGTTCTAAAAGCACACAATGCTTTTCACCTTAAAGGAACAGGATTTTTATCATTTCAGGGAGTTCATTGGTATTTGGGTATTTTTGTAATTATGATGCTAATGTTAAGGTTCTACAGACTTGTACAATGAAATGACCTAAATATAAAAAACTTGAAGCTCTTGTTTTTACTGATTGAAATAAGCTTAGAATAGTAAAGGACCACAGTACTGTTTTGAGGTACAGTATGGTGAAGGACTACAATACTGTTTGGAGGTACAGTATAGTGAGGGACTTAATTAATCTTTTCAGGTATATTGTAGTGAAGGATGAAAATCCTGTTCTGAGGTACAATGTAGTAAGGGACTATAAGTTACTGTTTTTAGGTACAGTATAATGAAGGATCAGAGTATTGTTTTGAGGTATATTATGGTGAGAGATTACAATACTGTTTTGAAGTATAGTGTAGTGAGTAATCACAGATCTTTTCAGAGGTGAAGTATAGAGTGGGACTACAATACTGTTCTGAAGTACAGTATAAAGAGTGATCACAATACTTTTCAGAAACACAGTATAGTGAGGGACTAAAGCATTCTTTTGAAGTATATGAGTGATCACAATACTTTTTTGAGACAGTGTAGTGAGGGACTACAGTAGAGTATTGAAGTACAGTATAGTGAGAGACTGTAGTTTTAAAGTACTCTATAGTGAGCGACTACATTACAGTTTTGAAATATAGTAAAGTGAGGGACCATGGTACTTTTCCAAAAGTGAGAGACTACAGTACAGTTTTGATGCACAGTGTAGTAAAGGATCACAGTACTGTTTTGACTGGTATAAAGTAATTCTGTGCCTTCATGCATATCAAGGAATGGTTTTGACGTAATGCAATGCTGTATGTCATGCATCAATGCTAAATACACTCTTCAGAGGTTATTGGATTTCAAAATTTGAATAGATTATCGACTTTAAATACATTTGAATCAATAAGTGGTCAATATTTTAGCTTGTCATTGGTGTTTTGATAGTACTTGAAAGCAAACTTTTCCTCCTTGAGAAAACATAGAATAAAAATTAACATTGCGTTTACTCATTTTTATATTTACTTACGCACCTTACTGCTATTATGAGATCTTCTGCTGAGGGAATAAATAATGTGCTTTCCGAA